GAACCAGTTATCAGTACAAAGATGACTTTTGTTAGGAGATGCTCCAGATTTGTTGACTTGGATCCCATGCATGCTGTAGACAGAGCATCTGCAAGATTGGCAAGGAATGCACCACAAGGAACTTCTGTTAAAGGTTCAGGTGATTCTTCTTCATCTTCAAATCTGGGTTCTTCTTATGTTCCTATTTTATTTGATTCTTGTTCTAACAAGCAATTACAGAAATTTGCTGCTCAATGTGCTATTATTCTTGATCCTCAAGAGGAGTTTGATCCTTTAAAAAAATTGAGGCAAATGGAACAGGAGAGAGCTATCTTAGAGTAGCTTTTTGGTTTTTTTACCAATTTGGGGGTGTATCTGTCTTTACATGTTGATTACATGGAATGTGAGAGGTTTGGGTTTAAGCCTCAAAAGATTTGGTGTCAAAGATTTTTGTTTTTTGAATAAGGCTGAGATTATTTGTTTACAGGAAACTAAATTGGAATGTATCAATGATAATATTTTAAAAAGTTTAGGGGGCACCTTTTTTGAGTGGGTTTGGTTACCTTCTATTGGTGCTTCTGGTGGTATTATGATTGGATGGAACTGTAATAAATGGAAGAAAAATCAGGAACTTTCTGGGAAATTTGCCTTGTCAGTTGTTTTGCAGAACAACAAAAATGGGTTCATTTGGACTGTTACTTCAGTGTATGGACCTCATAACAACAGTGAAAGGAATATTTTTTGGCAAGAACTTAAAAGTTTGAAAGATAATATCTCAGGTCCTTGGGTTGTTGTGGGGGATTTTAATCTTACTTGCAATCCAGATGAAAGAAAAGGAAAGGGTTGTTATAGAAGAGAGATGGAACTTTTCAATGAAATGATCACTGATTTGGAATTAATTGATAGTCCCCTTCATGGGAGAAAGTTTACATGGTCTAATAAAAGAAGTTCTCCTTCTATGGCTAGATTGGATAGAGTTTTTTTCAACTCTGAATGGGATGATGTTTTCCCTTTTTCTAGACAACAAGGTTTATGCAGCCAATTGTCAGATCATGCTCCTATAAGTTTTGACTGTGGTGATAATCAACAAAGTGCTAAACTTTTCAGATTTGAAAAAATATGGTTGCAATCTGAGGATTTTAAAAAGGGAATTCCTTTATGGTGGAAATGTGCTCCTTCTAGTGTTTCTGCAGCAAAAAATTTTGTTGGCAAATTAAGATTTTTAAGGAAATGTATTAAACAGTGGACTCATTCTAATTTTCACAGTGTTAAACAAAAAAAGAAAGATTTATTGGATAAACTTCTAGAATGGGAGGTTTTAGAAGAATCTAGAGATTTAACAGATGATGAGTTGATTAGCAAAAATGATATCTCTTTTCAGTTGAATGAGATCTTACTTCAAGAAGAACAAATGTGGAAGCAAAGAGCAAAAGCTCATTGGCTAAAAGAAGGGGATCAGAATACAGCTTATTTTCATAAAATTGCTAATGGAAGGAAGAGGTGTAATTTGATAGCTTCAATTACAGTTAATGATGTACATATTGGGTCTGAAGATGGTATAGCTCAGGCTTTCTCCAATCATTATAGTCAAGTTTTTGGGCAATCTGTCAATCACAGATGTAAATTAGATTAGGAAAAATTATTCCCCTTGGTGGATTGGGGTCCAGATGAAATTGAACAACCTTTTTCTATGGAAGAAATTCATAAAGCCATTTTTGATATGAATGGTGATAAATCTCCTGGCCCTGATGGTTTTCCTGCCCTCTTTTATCAAGTTTTTTGGGATACTGTTAAAGGAGATATTATGAGATTATTTGTTGAATTTCATGAGGGCATCTTAGAAATCAATAGATTTAACTATGCTCATATTGTTCTTATTCTAAAAAAGAATGGGGCTAATTCTATTAATGATTATAGGCCCATTAGTTTGTTAAATGTGATTTATAAGGTGATTACTAAAGTCTTAACTAACAGACTGAATTCTAAGTTGGAGATGCTTATAGATCCTGTGCAATCTGGATTTATTAAAGATAGATTTTTACTAGATGGTGTTGTGACAGCTCAAGAAATTATCAATGATTGTTTCCAGAATAACAAAAAAGGAGGGATCTTATTAAAATTAGACTTTGAAAAAGCATATGATTTGCTAGACTGGAACTTTATTTTAGAAGTCTTGAAAGCAAAAAAAATTGGTTCTAAGTGGATTAAATGGGTGACCTTATGTTTGAAAGATGGTTTATCTGCCATCAACATAAATGGTAAACCTGGAAATTGGATTATGTCCAAAAGGGGTGTTCGTCAAGGAGATCCTTTGTCACCTCTTCTTTTTGTATTGGCAGCTGATTCTTTTACTAAGATGTTGAAATTAGCTGTTGATGCTCAGTTAATTGAAGGATTAGGTCCTGAAAATATGAGTTCTAAAGTTTTCTGCTTACAATATGCTGATGATACTTTGATATTTTGCAAAAATAAGAAAGATCATTTGACTGTGTTGAAATTGATCCTATACTGCTTTGAATTAGCCTCAGGCTTAAAGATTAGCTTTAACAAAAGTGTTCTCATTGCTCTTGAGAAAAATGAGAATTTACAGCAGAACCTGGCATATATGATGAATTGTAAAAGTGGTAATTTTCCCATTACTTATCTTGGAATTCCTTTAAGACCAGGAAAATTAAAAAGAGATGACTGGTTTCCTTTGATTGAGAAAATTGAGAAAAGATTAGCTATTTGGAAAGGTAGGTCTCTATCAAGAGGAGGAAGATTGGTTTTGATTAACTCAGTTCTCTCTTCTATGCCAATTTTCTGGTTATCTTTTTTCTTATTCCCAGCATGGGTTATTGAAAAAATTGATTTTATGAGGAGAAGATTTTTATGGACTGGAACTTTGGAACATAAAGGATGCTCTAATCTGGTTAAATGGGAAGAGATTTGTAGACCAAAACATGGCTTTGGAAATGGTTCCATGGCAACAATGAACTTTGGAAACAAATTAGTCATCATAAATATTTTGATAGAAAATCATGGTCTGAATATCTTTATTTGGATAAAAATCATTTAACTTGGTTTTGGAAAGGTTTCTGTTCTAATCTTGACAGCTTTCTTTGCAGTACTCAAGTGGAAGTTGGAAATGGAAAATATACTCTTTTTTGGCTTGATAAATGGTTAGATTCATCTACCCTTGCTTCTCTTTTTCCATCTTTGTTCAAACTCTCTTCATCTCCTTATGCTACTGTTTATAGCCTGAGAATTAAAGAGGATGGTATTTGGAGATGGGTCCTTCATTTCAAAAAACAATTAATTGGGGATCTTGTCCTTCAGTTTTTTAAACTGTTGAATATGCTTAATCTGAAAAAATTATCAGAAGTGGAAGATAAAAGAAGATGGTTATGGGATAATAAAAAAACTTTTTCAGTGAGATCCTTTTATCATTTCCTTATTGATGGGGGTTTAAGATATGAGTGTGCAAGGGTATGGGAAATCCCTATTCCTCTGAAAGTCAAATTTTTAGTTTGGCTGGCTTTTAGACAAAGTCTGAACACAAAAGATAATTTGGAAAAAAAGGGAATTGGTATAGACAAAATATGTTGTTTATGCTCTAAGGAGTCTGAAAATCATTCTCACATTTTTATTAAATGTGAGTTTGTTCAATCTATCTGGAAACTAATTCAATACAATTTACATATTGAAGAGGACTTCAGGTTGGAGTCCTTGAAGATCTTGTGGCTGAAATGGAATAGTAGTTCTTTTGGGGAAGCTAGATTGAAAAGAGATATATATATCTCCTGTCTCATTTGGTGTATCTGGCAAGAACGCAATGATAGATTGTTTTCTAACAAGAGGAGGAATTACATTATGATTCTTCATAAGATCATAACTTTCTCAAACCTATGGTTAGGTATGAAAGGGGAGTCTGCCAGAACCACAAGGCTACAGGAAAGGAGGAAGAAGAAAATGGCGCTTGAAATGGGAACCAGGATTGCTGCTGAAGTGGATGACAGAAGTTCTGGGGAGATAATTCTGCTGGAATGATCCATGTCAACAAATCTTTTTGGGATAGCTGCTTCTTAACAGCTAAACTTTTAGTAGTTCTTGTTTTGTTGTTATGTGATCATACAGCTATTTTTGGGTTTTTCTTTAACTGGTGGTTAGAGCTTGGGAAATCAGTTTCAGTGATATGTAGTTAATCCTGAACTTTGTTGCATATCCTAGGTTGGGGATATGTACATATTATGTAACAACCATTTTGTTATTTAGCTGGCTGGGATATCTGTTTGGTATCCCATCCTTTTTCTCAAAAAAAAAATAGTATAAGCGGGCACAATTATTAAAAAGGAAATCCGGAGACCCCTCCATAAATAATGATACAGGAAAGGGAAAAGTGATATGTTTCCTAATTACTAGCAGCGTTTAGATCATTGTAGAGGGTAATATCATATCAGGATAATCAGCAAGTACCAACGCAAACAGAGAAATATTAGTATAAAAAGTAGTGATTAATCAGTGCAAACACTATAAAAAAAACAGCGCAATTATAAATTGTAAATTTGGCAGTGGAACACTTTGGTTTTGGCTTACTACTTTCTCCCTATATGATTTCCTCTAGAGAACCCATACAGCATTTCCTTCCCAATTTAGCTATTTATGCTTTTTCCAGATCCTCAGGTTCTAATTTTTCTTTTTTTTTTTAACCATAGGAAAACACAGGTGGTTTAAAGAAAACCAAACTCTTTCAGAGATGAATAAATTTCTCGAGGAAAAAAAAATATTTTAAAAGACCAGCATTTTCGGTATTTTTCTTGATTGTTTGCAAAATTGCTATAATTTCTTAGAAATCCATCCTACTTATTCCTACAGTTCCTATATATTTTGCTCATGATGATGTTTTCCCTTCCCAACAATCCATAGCACAATCTTCACGAGCCAAATAGAGCCACTAACTTGGACTGCTAATCAATCTCACGGGAAATAGAGCTCGATTTCAAAGACACAGGACAGAAGGGAGGGGTGGTGGGGGAGCGCACCTTCATCTTGCACCAGCTTCTGCGCCTCACATCCTCTCTCCTCCCCTAAGCAGCTCAAACCGAACAGCACCAAGAACACCAAGACCACTGCTCTCATCTCCTTCCCTCCCTGTTCCTCTCTCTAACTTTAGCTTGTCTGAAATAGAAAAAATATCAGAACATGGGTTGGTGTGAGGCTTATTTCCATTTATGCCCCTCACTAAATTATGGTGGTTTGGATCAAAAAGCTTTTTATGGTGGTTTGGATCAAAAACCTACGTCCACTCTTCATTCTCGCGAAAGGCCTTCTTCACTATGACCAGAGCTCACCTGAATCACAACCCGATTCTTTATGCTTCAAATATCTCACTATGAAATCTACCTGAAACCAATTGTCTAATCTAACTCTCCACGATGACCAGAAGAAACCTAGCCTTATCTAGCCAACACTCAATTATCCCGACTTGAGTACGCCGTCAAACGCACAAATTTTAAATATAACCAACTAAAAAAATTAAACCGCAAAATGGATGATCTTACGGTCCTTTATCAAATCATTCTTCAAATCAAAGAAGATGATGATGAAAAAGTGGTGTGTAAGCATCTAAAATTGCCTACAAGGTCCCGCACACAGCTCGAAATGAAGAGTGGACGCGTCAAGAAGGATTATCTAATTGGCTGATGCGCACATCAATCAACGCGCGCACATCAGTCAACGCGCGTGCGTCAATCAGCTCGCACGCGTCAATCAGCTCGCGTGCGTCGGTCAACACACGCACATCAATTAACACGCGCGCGTCGGTCAACGCAAGCACGTCAATTAGCTCGCACGTGTCAATCAGCTCGCGCGGAGTGTACAAGTCAGCACGTCGGATAAATACGCAAAATGGTGGAAAAGTACAAGTCCCGAAAAACTGGAAAACACCAAACAGTTCAAACCCCCGTGCCTGCACGAGTCGAACCACGCTGACCC